CAGGTCATGATCCCAGGGTCCTGGGATCGAGCCCCGCGTTGGGCTCCCTGCTCCGCGGGAAGCCTGCTTCTCCCTCTCCCACTCCCACTCCCCCTGCTTGTGTTCCCTCTCTCGCTGTCTCTCTCTCTCTGTCAAATAAATAAGATCTTTAAAAAAAAAACAAAAACATTAGTAACAATACTCTGCGCTAACGAGAGTGTTGCTAGTGGGGGAGAATTGGTACAAACTGGTATCAAAAGCCATTGCCAAAGCAATGCCAATTCCAGTAAAGCACCTGAAGGAAATCGTTACAGATGTTCACAAAGATCTAAAATATAAGGGTGTTTACCACAGTCTTCTTTCTGATAGTGAATACTGGAAACAACCGAAATACCTACCAAATAGGGATTGGTTAATACATGGTTAATATGGTTGCTCCATAGCCTTTGAAGTGGATATTGTGGAAAGCTATTTATAATCACATCCAGGGACTAACAACATGTTGGAAAGGGGAAAAGCAGGTTATAATACAAGATACACACGTTGACCCTTTTTCCAACTACACGTGTGCATGCGTGTTTGAACACACGCCCGCGAACAGAAATAATCCTGGAAAGAGCAATTACCCTATATTGTCTGGGTCATGGGGGGGGGCAGGATTAGAGGTGATTTAGAATGTTTCTTTCCCACGTTTCCCACGATTTCTCCAATAAATGGTTTTCTAATCAGAAAACATGTTACTTCCTAAAAGGTCCATCTGCATGCACTGGAATGAGACCGGATTTTGCCTCCAGCCAGCCTCGGTGGCTCGGCCGGAAGTGGCTGCAGGCTCATGGGCCTCCCCAGCAGAGAGCATGGAAAAGCATGGAAAAGCATGGAAAAGCATGGAAAAGCAAACCGCCGGAATCAAAGGGAGTGTAGGTCCACCCTCCTCCAGGCTCGGGAGACAGAGGCACTTACCGGAAGTGCTGGGATGAAGATCAGCACGTACTCCTGGGTTAGCCTGCAAGAGAGCCAGAAGCTCCAGAGCGGCCCAGGCTGTGCCCTCCAGGAGCGGGGGGCGGGGGCTGCGAGGCTGCCCGAGGAACACTCTGGGCACCCCAGGTTTGAAGAGAGGCTTTGCCAAGCCCTGAAGACAAGTAGTCACGGGGTGCCACTAGAAGGTGCGGGGGGCGGGGGGGAGGGTTGGGGTTGGCAAGGACCTAACCACGAGGCCGTCATGGCTAGGGAACTTAAACTCGCGGTAACATGCGCTGTGTAAGGGGGAGCGGGGAGAAGCTGATATCTTATCAAGAAAGAAGCAAATGAAGCGCAGATCCTACAAAATGAACAAGGTATTCTCAGGCCGGGGCTCCCATGCAAATGCCTTCATCGTGTCGCCTTTCCTCCCGAATTAAAACTGGCCGCGTGTCTGCCCCCTGCTGGTCGCAGCTGGAGCAGCACGCCCCAGAAGGGAGAGACCCGAGCACGGAATCCTGGAACCTTCCCCCTAAGAGCTGCACCTGTGACCGCTGGCGACCCAGAGAAGCACGGGGGCTGGGGGAGTGGGGGCGCTAGGGAGTGGTCTCTTTGACGGGGTCCCTCCCTGGCGCCCCAGCAGAAGCCAGTACCTGGAAACAGCCGGGTCCTGCCGGAAGAGCAGCAGGATCTGCTGGGTGTTGAGGAAGAGCGCCCAGCAGGGGAAGCAGCAGAGCAGCAGCACCAGGGTCCCCCTCTGCAGGATGACCCCCACGTGCTTCTTGTTGGGGCTGCCGAAGCTCTGCAAAACAGCTCAGTCCTGGGTCAGGCTGCCCACCCCTTCAGTACCTTCCCTCTGTCCCCTGGGTGAGCCTAGCCAGGGCGTCAAGCTCCTAGCGGTGCTAGGGCCGTGGGGATGGACCCAGGACACCACCATCAGCAGCCATCCGTGCTCCGGGAGCGAGCGGGCCTTTGGCACCCCCTGATTACAGCCTGGAGGGGGCCCTTCTGGGCTAGGCTTCCTCTGCAGGGGGCTCAACCTGCTCATAGAATCACAATAGCCGTTATTTAGTGAGCACTAGCTCCAGGCCAGGCCCTGCGGCCAAGGCCAACCTCTATCTACCCCTTGTGCCCAGTTCTTCAAAAGCCCCTAACAAGGAGCGCTTCATTCTCCCAATCACAGCTAGAGCAAGGGAAGCTCCGAGAACATTTGTCAAGTCCCCATAAGGCTAAGTGGCAGCCCGGACCGAGCCCAGGTCCCCGGGTCCACCGTGAGTCCAGACCCCTGCCCCAGGAAAGCTGAGCCCCCCTGGGCTGTGGCCCCCGAGGCCGGGAGTGTTCCCACAGGTGTGCCCTCAGCATTTGACACATGAGGTCAGGGACCGGCCTCCACCCCGTTCCCTCCATGGCTCTCTTGCCCGTCTGCGCTGACTGTTTCAAAACGATGGATCTAAGTCCCTGACAGCATGCGGGCCTTGCAGGCGGGCCGGGGGGCAGGTGTCCCCAGGGCCTGTTTGATGGGCTCCCAGATCCAGGGGTCACTGAAGGGCCTTCAGTGGGCACCCTCCTGCCCGGCTCCAGGAGGCCCACCTACCTGGGACATCAAGGTGTCACATGCCGAGGACAAGCCCAATCCTATGGAAACTCCACAGACATTGACAAACTGGAGTCACGCACAGGAGAGAACACAGGGCTTGTCAGGGGTGGGGGGCGAAGGAGGGGAACCTGGGGAGCATCCTGCGTCTGGGGGAGGCCACTCAATGGCAGCCCTGATGTTCGGCTGAGCTAGAGACCCCCTTCCTGCCCCAGGCCCTGCCTGCACGGGCAAGGCCCCCCTCCCAGGCCCAGCTGGGAATGTCAGCCCTCATGCTGTGTCTCGGTGGGGGGGGGGGGGGGGGAGAGAGCGTCCCCACACCAACCCAGCTATACTCACGGCCACCGAGAGGGTCACTGATGCCAACTCCAGCTTGCCCAGGTGCCCGCAAAACACTGAACTCACGACATGGATCATGAAGGTCAGCACCTGGAACAAAAACTGGGGGACAGCAACCAAGGTCAAGGGCCCTGCACCGCCCAGCCCCACACTGAGGCTTTTCCTGAGGGGCCTCGAACCAGAGACCCACAAAAAAACACAGCCGCCGGACCCATTGCCCGCAACCGGGGAAAGAAAGCGAGCACTGTGGCTGAGGCGGATGCGGCAGCCAGAGCTGGAGGTCAGGACTCCTGAGTCTTGCTCCCGGATCTGCCGTCAGCAGCGGCCGTGAGCCTCTGGGCTCCACCTCTGGGCTCCGGTTTCCCTGCCTGAAAGTGCGGGAATGCTCCAGAAGCAGCTGCACCCACGCAGTCTGGAGCCCAGAGAGCTCAACTCAAACATCTCATACTCCAACGGTGTTATTAATAATCATGTGGTCAGACCTCATACAAAAGAGGAATGGCTAGGTCCCGGTGGTGGGATTAGAGATAAATTTCATCGTAACTTTTCATTTCGTCCGGAAATTTCGTAGGGAGCATATATTGATTAGTATTTATGGTGAGAAAAAAAGAGGATCTAAAGCAATTTTCCCATTGGAAATAAAATGGGCAGATGGCCCCTTCTTCCCCCTGCAAACTGTCTGCAGGGGGGGCCCACAGACTCCTGTATTAATGGGTCTCACTGGTCACCCCAGGGATTTAATCCAGCCTTCCCGTTTGTTTCTGAAGGAGGACACACCTGCCCCTTCGGAGTGGGGGCTGCCGGCTGCTGAGCGAGGTCAGGCCCCACTGCCAGGGACAGCTGTCGCTGTCTGTCACCTGCTCTGGGTGGTGGCCCCTGGTACTGCCTGGACACGGTCAGTGTGGGAAGTTTCTGGGGAGGGGTGTGAGCTGCTCCTGGCACAGCCCCCGTCACACCCAGCCTTACTGCCTATCCCCCCCGCAAAAGTTCACCTCCTTACCAGGGGTCCGGAAAGAGCGAAGAGCGTCCACACCTCGGCCGCAAAGCCAACGGGGACCAGCCTGCGGAGGGCAGGGCAACAGCCCCCTCGGTCTTGGGGGACCGCGTCCTGAACGCTGTCCATTCCGAGACCAGGCTGCTCTCCGCCCTGCATGCCTGGGCACTCCTACCGCCAGCCTTGCCCAGCCAAGCCCATGTCACCCTGCCGCCTGGCTAATGAGTAAGGGGCAGGGGGAGGGGCCGCTGCAGCAACCTATGGGACGTGCCCTCCCTCCCGGCTCCGTGGCCCTGTTGCCCAGCCCACTGGCTCTGTCACCAGGGCAGGACAGGAGGGAGCCCTGGGCATCCGGGACTCACCCAGGCTGATGCCTGTGGGTGCCTTGGGTCTGCTGTCCCCAGGGCGGTCCGCTGCAAAGCCCCAGGAGGAGAAGGTTTGGGGCAGTGTGGGGGTGTGCTGGTTCTGGGGATGAGGGCAGGATGGCCTGGCTGGGGTGAGCTGAGGCGCTGGGCATCTTACACCCTGGCATGATGGTACCCATGATGACTTCCACTCCAGAGAAGAAGCAGTGAAGACTTAGAGAGGAGGGCAGCCTCCAGAGCCCTGTCCCAGGAGCGGTCCGGTGGGAGGGGGCAGTGGCCTGGAGCCAGGAGCCAGGATACCTGGGGGAGACCCCTAGCCCCCTCTCTGCCCACGATCCCTTTCGGCAGCATCCCTGAGAGCCAGGGTGACCCCCCTTGGGCGAACAGCTCACCCCTCTCCCCCTCCATTTTGCCCAGTGAAGCCGTCACTGGGCATCCCCCCAGGTTCCTCTCTGGCCTGCCCAGTCTACCTTCTCTTCTCTCCCATGCACGCAGCAGAGCTGGCCTGCGACCCACCAAGGACAGGCGGGGCAGACCACGGGAGACTCCTAACTGCCACCTTACCTGGTCCAGTCCCCGATCAGGCTTTGGGATGTGGGCTCAGGAAGAGGAAGCCCGAGTGAGAGGCGCCGGCAAGAGGGGCAGGTGGGACAGCGGCCATGGGATGGCCCATCCGCCCAGCTGGTTCCCATAGGCTCCCCTGCAGGGAGGAAGCAGCCAGCAGGACCCCAGGACACAGCCCTGCGCGCACTCTGCTCCCCACATGCACACGCAGAATCCCAAATGCTCCGCCGCCCTGTGCACCCCAGTGACCTGGGCGACCACTCTTCCTTCCCCCATTCTGCCGAGCTCCTAGTGCAAATTTCTACAACCTGCACACGACCCAGCCAAATTAACTGCCGCCGACACAGAGGAACGAGAAGACATTTTATTACCATTGCAGTGATTAGTGTGTGACCAAAACAACGCAGGGCTACGGATCAAAGCTGCACGGTTCCAGTGATAAGCCCGTCGCCATGGGCTACGTGCCTTGGGGCTACGACGTGCCTCCTTTGATGTGTTTTCCAGTTCTTCTCACCTTCTGCCCTTTCTGGTTCTGGGCTGGTTTGGCTTCCTCTCTTGAAAGGCTGGCCAAAACCTTTTCCTTCACTCCAGGGCACCTGGGCCTCGGGGGTGGGGGTGGGGGTGGGAGAAATCTCTTTTAGGCAACACCCACTGTCCCTAGATGTGGGGCCACGCGGCCTAGGCCCCCTGCCCCACTCCTGCGGCAGGAAAGTGACTTCCGTGGTCAGAAGTCACGTGTTGTGGGAGTCCCCAGTGGATGGGGGGTTTGGGGGAGGGGGTTCGGGTAAGCCCGTGGGTGCGGGGCAGGCGAGCAAATCTAAATCCAAGGTCAGCTTTAATGAAGGCAAAGCCGTCCCCACCAGGATGGAAGATACTTGGTGCAAATGGCAACACTGGGTGCAGTTTCCAGTGAGGGTTTCTCCGTCTGGCCGAGGGGGTGCAGTAGGTCAAGGTCAGCTCAACCTCCCGAGGGCGGGTCCTTGCTCTAGCGTCCTCAAAACCATTCCCACAAATGTTCCCCAGGATTCTTACAAAAGCTAATAATGCTGTTCTTTCCCACACTGCTTTCAGGCCCTGGGTGGGGGATTAGGAACAGGGATTAGGGCCCAGTGGTCGTGTGGGTGTTGCCTCCTCCAGGTCTAGAGTCTTCCAGATGCTCCCAGATGACGGTGCTTTCCAGCTGGGCCTGCGCTCTGGGCTGTGGTTTAGCTGCCTGCAGGGCCAGCCTCCGAGGCTGGTGTTCTGGGACTCCAGCCAAGGCAGCCAACGTGGAGGCCCTGGCACCCTCCTGCGGGGAGGTGAGAACTCGGGGGTGTCGGCCCCCTCTCCAAGCCGCCCAGCGCTATTGCGAGCATCCTCTCCCACCTCCTGTCCCGCATCCCCTGCGGCCTCCAGCAGCACACACCACGCTGATAACAGTTCAGCTCCCGGGAACAGGGCCATGAATCCCCATGACTTGGGGAGCCTCTCGCTTCTTGGGGTGCCCTTCCCCTTGGGGCCCCGTGACTTACAACGTCCTCCCTTGTGCCAATTTCGGTGCCAATGACAGTTCTTTGGCGGAAACAGGAGAAATTACCTTGAGATGATACCATCTGAGCAAGGAAGGGGGGAGGGGGAGGGAGGACGGAGGGGAGGGAGTGGGGGCGGGAGGAAGAATTATCAGCAGGTGATCACTGGCAGAAGAAAGTTGAGCAACCAGCCTGGAAAACAAGAGAATCCCGGCAACTTTGGACTCGGGGCTTTTCAGGCAAGCTCCTGAGATTACTCAGCGGCAAACACCTTCCCATCGCAGAGGCCAATTCTTGGAAGACGGAGCAGGGATCAGCCAGTGCTGGGAAAGGAAGAGGGACACGTGGGGAGCTGGGTGCTGTGGCCGCGTGGGGTGGGGCAGTGGGTTCCCCCAAAAGGTGGGATGCCGTACAGATAAAAAGGAACGGTATTCCCCTACACATCCTGCATAGTAAATGCCCCCACCCCAAGTTAGCGTCTTCGACCAGCCACCATTTGTGTGCTGGGTCTGGGCTGGTGGGATCAGCTGGGGACTCTGGTGGCGAAGCCCTGGCATTTCTGTGTGAGCAAGCGCCCGCAGGCCGGCCTGGGCTGGACGGCCCCCGAGGGCTGGCAGGGGTGCCCGCTGAGGGTCACACTGCCCACCCGGATCTCCCTCCACACAGTCTCCCTGGGCTGCTTGGGCTGCTCACCGCGCGTGGGGTTGGCTTGAAGAGAGAACATTCCAGGAGTACAAGAGGAAGCTGCGTTTGCAACAAGACACAGCCTGGAATTGACACGGGTCACTTCTGTCTGTCGGCCAGAGCTAATCACAGGGCTTGCCCCACTCCTTTCTTCGCCCCATCTCCTCTCCCCTGCCCGGCCCATCCCCCACAGCCCGGCCTAGCAAGGGTGGAAGGGATGAAGTCTCCGGCACACAGTGGTGAGGCTCGGGCCTGCCCAGGACCTTCCCATGGAAGAAGGACCTCAAGTCACAAAGTCCTGGGGGCAGTAGGAGGTGGGGGCGGGCGCGGGGGGGCCTTGTCCTGGGCCTGCCCTCAGGTAACTGCTGGATACAGCGGATGCCGGGGCCTCTGCTAACCTCTTTCTTCGCTTGGTTACGCTTCACCACGTTTGTTTGCCCTTTGGCTACCCCAAGCCCTGCACCCCCAGGCCGGGGAGCCAGAGTTTCTCTCTTTAACCCCCACCCCGCCCCACTCACTGCCCCGTGACTGAAAAAACTCCCAGTTATCCACTGGGGAGAGTGGCGACTCTGGTCTTCTGGTCCCTCAGCCCCACATCCATCATCAGGACGAAGGACAGCGGGGAAGGACAAGGAGTCTGCCTCCTGCCTGTGCCCAGGCCTTCAGCTGAGCGGTGACCCACATCGCCCTGACCAAATGCCCGAGGCCACTCCGACACCCCCAAGACAGCTGCCTCCTTCTCTCCCTGCGTCCACCCAGCACCTCGTCCCTCCAGGCCTCACCCCCTCCTGCTCGCTCCTCCCTCCCTCCTCCCACAAGGCCTCACTGGGCACCTTCCCCACAGAACCGCCCAGAGCTCAGTCCCCACAGAGGCTTAAGGTGCTCCCAGGCCTGCGGGTGAGGGGAGGGACAGAGCTGGCAGAGCGTCAGCGGGAACGGCGAGGCCCCTACGAGAGGCCTGCCAAGAGCAAGGCTCCTAAAACCCCAAAGATGGTGGGGGGCGTTTCCTACCGGGAAAAAGTCTGCAGGAAAAAAGACGATGATTCAGCACTAGAGAGAAATGAGCTCTCAAGCCATGAAAAGACAGGGAGGCACCTGAAATGCGGATCGATAAGTGAAAGAAGCCGGTTTGGAAAGGCTGCATACTGTGTGATTCTAGCTATGTGACATTTACTGGGGACAGTAAGAGGATCAGTGGGGGCCAGGGGTGGGTGGAGAGGGAGGGGTGAACGTTTGGGAAGGAGGATTTTTCTGGCTCCCTGCTATTATATGTTTGTCAAAACCCCTAGAACATACACCATGGAGAGGGAACCCTGGTGTAAACTCTGGACTTTAATAATCTGTATCCATATTGGTTCCTCAGTTATAATCAATGTACCATCCTCTTGCAAGAGATTAATACTCGGGAAAACCGGTGGGGTGGGGGCTTGGAGAGGGGACTGGAAATTAAACTCTGTACTTTCTGTACAATTTTTATATGAATCTAAAAGTGCTCTAAAATATAAAGTCTATTAGGGGGCGCCTGGGTGGCTCAGTCAGTTGAGCGTCTTGATCGCTTGATCTCAGCTCGGGTCTTGATCTCAGCGTCATGAGTTCAAGCCTGGTGTTGGGCTCCATGCTCTCTGTGGAGTCTACTTAAAATAATAATAATAATAATAATAATAAAGTCTATTAAAAACGGATAGACAGGGGCATCTGGGTGGCTCAGTCGTTAAGCGTCTGCCTTCGGCTCAGGTCATGATCCCAGGGTCCTGGGAT